AAAACAAAAAGCAATAGTAAGTTCTCTCATGTGCTCTCATATCTATGTAGAAGTGTGAAAGAAACAGATATCTAATACAGTAATGCACTATGATGCAACAAGACCAACTGTTAAGGCTTCTCAAGGCATTGTATTCCTCTGTCAGTGACGAGCAAGTCAAACAACACTAAATGCCGACTGTATTGTAGATGTTACTCGAGAAGCCAGGGTCTGGGTGGCAAACGCTTGAAGCTGCTTCCTGGCATCTGAAAGATACAGGAAACACATTTGATGATCCCGTGAAAAAGGTAAACACTTATCGACATCTTTTCTCTGTGTGCGTATGTTGGCATGCAGGTTTTAGCAGGGAACATGTATAGGCATGTCAGTAGCTCAGTAGAATCTTTAAAAATTGACTTGGAAAAAATGGTGCAAAACACCAGAAAATTTTCTTAAACCACAGAGCTACATGGCTACCAGTTACATAACCTAACCAATGGGGAGAAGAACACTTGAAATGCTCCAGCCAAAGTGTCTGGTTATTAAGATTACTAAGTTACAAAATCATGGATCTTATTATAAAAGCAATAGATTCACAATCCCATAAATGTAATGCTCATGCCAAAACATTTCAGAATGAATATAGAAATGCAGGCAGCAAACTATTCATTGGTTTAGAGACACAACTTCACGTACAGTCAGTCAAACGGTGTTTAGCAAAGACTGCCTGCCATCATCATTTGCCCAATTTCAGTTTAAGAAATTGATTCATGAACACTCGTCAATCTACCAGAGAATATTATGAAATCTTTGAGAAAACACCATTGACTCTGTCACATCAATTACATATTGGACAACATAAAATCTGTTCAGCAACGACAATGTCCTAATCTCAAGTAGAATTACAGACCTGTATACGTTGATGTCAACCGGGAAAGGACAGTAGTTTCTAAAATTCTAATATGTTCTAATCCATCAATTTCTTTTTGTTAGATGAACTTAAATTATAATTATCTTCAGATAGCATCGGTCTTTGAAATACAGATAATTGAACTTCTCCATAAGTAACTGAATCATATTAATTTACTTCAGGGCAGCACAACACACCACTTATGAAACAATTTTAATCAGTTTATGTTTTCTTGCTGAGGTTGCAACATGAATATTTGTGACAATTTCTCCAAGTAAAGTTCCTTTTCATTCCTATTTCTTTTCAGCTTGAGAATTAAAGACGAGCATACAGGGAGGTGTCAGGAGCATATTTTAAACAAGTACAGAAAATGCATACAGAGTAAACAACACATCTGATTTTCAGGTAGAAAATCTTTTTCAAGGTACCAAAGTTACCTTTACGGCATCTAGTGAAGCCAACAATATTGGCAATGCTGAGAGTCAAGCAGACTCCAACGACAAGGAGATAATCAGCTTGAAACCTTATGAGGGAAAATATTCCAAGGAAGATCCAAGCAACCGCCTGCAGAAAAGAGAATGATCCTTCAGGTTATTACACAGATTCAGCTATAAACTGCTTATGGCATCCAGTTTAAAGACTCTTGACCATTGAACTAACCTATACCTCAATCTGCCTCAAAGTCCACTGACATCCCACACATCATACTGATACGGTCTAAACTTTTTACTTTTGTAGCATGTTCCATGGGTTGTCAGTTGGTCTTACCTTTCTAATATTAAGCTAGTACAAGGCATCTAGGTTTATTTGGGATACTTATAGAACTTTTCACTCCTGCAGAATGATTTATCAGAGAATGTTGCTGTCAAGGAAAAATATTTGCTTACAGTGAGATATAAGGTCCACCAGAACAGCCATGAATCCTTCTGGTTGATCCGAGCCATTGACTACAAGATATGAAAAATAATCTAGCATGTTACACAAGCTTTGACGAATCAGTAGTCAAGAAAGTGCATAACGAGTACGTAGAAAACACACCCACCTCCTGGTCAAGGCATTCAAATCTCCAAACACTCTCACCCTCATCATTGATTTCATTCCACCACCTTAAACCTACTAGGATTCTCCCACTCACATTTTTGACCACCCAAAAATCAAGGGCACCAAGAAGTACGGTAATAACGAAAATGATGACAAAACTGTTGACAAATAAGGCTGAAAGTATGTAAAATGCCAAAGCTGCAGCCTGTCAAGTGAAAGCAACATAGAAAGGTTTATAGCTTTTCTTAAATAAGGAAACAAGATGAAGCATTATCAGATAAATAAACTCACTGTACCTTGAATAGAACATGGAAGAAGCAAATCCTTGGGTGAGCATAATTCTCCCCTGCAGGCTGATCACAGAAAATAATGAATTTCAAACAACATTTAACATCTTTTCTCAGCTTTTAGCTTTTCTTTGTTATTGTCCTTTCACTTGGGAAGAAAGTTTTTTTATTTTTTTTGGTTTTTGGGGGGGGGGGGGGGGGGGGGGGAGAGGAGGGAGGTGGGAGAAGGGGAGACGATAGGTTGGTTTGGGAATAATCCAAGTGCAAGTCAAAATTCCATTTCTAACAATTGAGAAAATCATGCTTCTCACACTGCAATCTCCAAACTGCTTTTCGAGAACATGAGACCATATTAACTGCAGCAAAATCAGTATGACAATCTAAACTAGAAGCAAATGCTAATAATACTCAGACTTTTGATCCGTTCATACATTGTTGCTCTAACCATCACAATTTGCCCGACATTGGTGAGAAGTCTTCACTATAAAGCCCCATTAGACACATAAGCACCATCCATGACATGGGCACTAAACCTCCAGCTCTTGTGCATGCAGACTCCATATGCATTGAACTTGGCATACATTGTCAAGGAGCGTGTACTTTTTCTCTAATTAATTTGTCCAGGCAACTAATTCCAGTAAATGTTACAAGTAAATAAGGGGTAGATTTAAAGGTTGTACTCCATCACTCCCAAATGAAAAACATGGTATGTCAAGACGACAGCCAGTGTTCTCCCATTTAAATTAACCTCAATTTCATCTTCCTTGAGGTGACTTTTCCAGCAAGTGTTCCTCCTACCTTCTACCACAAATTGTACACCAATGAAAACACTTTGCCGTCTGTTCCTCCCACTCTCCAAAACTTTTTTTCCCAGCATACTATCTAAATTGCCATGTATTCTAGAGTAAATCTGCAATTACTTAACAAAATCTAGAAACCATGCATTTCCAAGACAAAGGACAACCACATGAATCTCAAAGAATAACACACACAAACATAATATCACCAGTTAATCATTCACAAGAGCATACACTCTTCGAGAGGGGGGAGGGGGGAGACTCGGTTCTCTTGTTCAAAATTGAAATTAAGCCATAGAAAAAGCAAATGAATCTTGCTTTGAGCTAAGTAACAGGACCTACAATTGGGTTATGACTACATCAGAAAACTATACTTGCTTGCTAAGTGTCTGATAACCCATGCTAAGTGTCTGATAACCCAGATAGGCTCTATGTAAGAGATCGACATTAGCCATTAGCCAAGGATACTGAAAAATATGATTAACTACAATAACCTCCCCCAAAATGCAGTACCCAAATGTGTCATGCGTATACTGAGCAACGTGGATTTTGTAAACTCTACAAAAACCTGTCTGCATTTCATCATGAATAAGAAAAAATTCTGCAACAATTACTTTGACAAAAACGGATTTTTTGTATTTCACAATTCCTAAATTCCGTCCTACCACTTCGTCCCACCAATTGAGCCTCACTTCCCTCACTTAGGTCCAGGACCCGATAAACCCAGACTTTCGAATCGAGAAAAACAACCAAAAATTCTAATATGAAGCTAAGTCAGGTGTAATATCGGTATCAATTAGCTCAAAATTTTCAGTTCAGTTGGCAGATCTATGACAAAGAAGGCCAAAATATAAGTGATTAGCAGGAAAACAGATGACTATAGTTGTTACCATCAATCAATCATCAGGATTTCAAATAATAAATTGATGATGCTGCTCCAAATATAGCCAAACCCAGATCAGAATGCATACATATGTTATTGAAATTTCATGAACAATATACAAAAAAGGATGATAAATGAGAAAGAGAAGGAAAAAATAATTAAACTTACGGGGCTTAGATCCATCTGGAGAATTTGACCTGAAAAGGGCTACTTCTTTTTCTATTTTCTCCCCCTTCTTGTCAAATTGGACGAGTATAGACTATAGAGGGGTTCCATTCAAGCTGACGATGTGAGCCTTCTGCGTGTTTTGTTGGTTGAGTTTCCTGACTTCTAAAATTGCAAAAAAGGTCCATACAAATATGAGGTATTTTGAAACGACCCCCATGTTGCTTTGCCCTTAAGATTTGAAATGCCAAGACCCCTTCTTATGTCTATTTAGGCACTCAATTAAATTTCATTTGTGGATCAATTAAGCCTTTTCAGTGGTTAGCAAAATAATATTTTATTGACTACATTTTATTGTTATTTTCTTGAACTTGTAAGAGTTATTAGTTATTGGATCATTTTATTATCACTTTTTTTTATTTATAATATATGTCACGGTAATATAAGGAAATGCTACTCCTAAGTAAAAAATATTGACAAAATAAATACATTATATTAATAATTAATATTTTATGACAAGTTAATAGTCACAAGAATGTAAGAGGTAGAGTGGCTTTGCCGTCATAATTCTTTAAGATTCAAAACTTTTGTCCCTCTGATTCGTAAAATAATAATAACATCAATAATAACATTAGAACTTAGACAATCACACATGCGATAAATTTCATGTGAAGTACTCAACTATTTGGAATTCTCATATTTTGAAAAACAAGTTTTTCAATATATCTTATCTTACATATATAAAGCGAGAATCCGCTTGTGAACAGTGAAAAATGGACCGGTTATATCGTTATTTTTGTGACTTTGAGGGGCATTTTGGTCTTTTAGCATTCAGTGGCAATGGTTCAGCTGGAATTTCACAATTTTGGCGGTCAACAATTGCTGGTGGTTAGTGGGCGGTGGGCGGTCTTAGCTTTCTTCTTTGTTTTGCTAGCAATTGCTGCTGGTTAGTGCCTTAGTGGGCGGTGTCTTGGCGCTAGATGGGAGTGGTTTTGCTGGAAATTCACCGCTCTCCACGTGTTGTTCTTCAACAGCAACAAGTTTAGCGGTGAATTGGGTAAGATGCAAGAATCACCGCTCGAAAGCTTTGCAGTTTCCATTACAGTCTTTTCTTAGCCTGCTCTACCGGTCCTTTTTTCACCTCGTCATCTTCCAATTTGATTGCCTCCTCCACTGCGTCTTCATCCACAATTGACTTGTAAGTGTTCTAGAAAGAGTGGGGAAATTCATGGTGGCCGATTAAGTCTAGGAAGGAGCAAGTGACTTGGTAGGTGTTATTTGCAGGAGCTGGTTAATTTTTGCTGTTTTTGACAGTGGTGCGGTTTAATCTGGGGATGTGTTGAAATGTTGAAGTGGATTTTAGGATTTTTCATCAGTATTTAGGTGTTCTGCAGGTGTTCTATGTGAGCCTTACTTTGTTTTGTTGGTTTGCATGAATGGCTGATGTGTAACTAAGAAAGCTCGGCAGCGGATATATGAGGGCGAGCTGCTAATTGTGTTGGGTAAGGTGAGTTGTAGTCTTTTTTCGCATTTGTTTTTGTGTTTTATGATGCCAACAAGTAGCTTGCTAAGACACGACCTGGAGGACATACGGCAATTCCATGGCAAAACACTGATAAACTCTGCTTCCCACTCTTCCTCTTCCTCCTCTCTACTGTTTTCTATCTAAAATCCCCTAGCAAATGCAAAACCGGATCTTCGATTCTCCTATGACTGGCAGAGTTTGAATTACCAACCTCATCAGTTTTGTTTTCCATATGCCCACCTTATATCCATCTCCTCCACCAAGGGCAATTTGGTTTTACTGATTCAATCCCTTTTTATTTTTCATATACCTGTCTTATATCCATTTCACTCCACCAAGGCCAATTTGATTTTGCTGATTCAATCCCTTTCTCTGCATCCTATGAGACTTAATGCCCATCAATCTCTGTTTTGGGACTCTCTCCTAATCTCCGGTACTTTGAACTGATCTTATGCTAGATATGAGGTATAATTGGTCTTGTATTATTCTGCTATTGTTGATTGTCATGCATGTGTGTTCTTCAATCATGTTGAGGTTTATATGAATTAGAATCTGGCCGGTATTTTGCATGCTGTACTTCGGATTCTTTCCTTTCAATTCTTATGGAGCCTGAGCATTGGATTAAGTTTTGTTTTTCTCACGGATATTTCTGAACTGGGATTGGTTTTTGGTGGTAAATTTGCATTACTACTCGTTACTACTCATTGGTTGCAAATTGGATGTTTGATGTTCGTATACAAGTCATGCTTTCTCTTTTTTTAGTTGCTTTACTTTTGTATCATAGTTATGCTTTTGGCTTCTGTATCATTGATCTAAGCTTAGCAATGTTTCTGATGTAAGATAAGTCAACGATATCCATTGTACTAAGCCATGTCTCAAGCATTTGAAGCTTCCCCAATAGATGGTTTTAGGTAATAATTGAATCTTTTTGCTAAATTGTGTCTATTGGGATGATAGGTTTGTCTGTTTCATTTAGTTTAAGTTTATATTGCTCCTAAGGATCTTGAGAGTGGCTTGTTATCTCTATGTGATTAGATTGTGTCTTGTTTTATTTAGATTGATTCTATTGCATGTTATACCTTTGGGATATTTCCAATTGATTGAATGTCTCTATGGTGATTATCAGCTGACGTAGTAGTGCTTTAGCAGGAAGCAGTGAAGACTATCTCAGTTTTGGGACTCTCTCAATCTGCTGCATTTCCTCATGTTTAATTGGCAAAAAAAGGCTAGATAGATCTTGGCAAAATTGAATGCACAATCCATAGCATCCAGATCAGATAAATATGTTACTCCCTGAATTGTATCACCCTGAAGAAAAAAGAGATAGCTACTACCCATATGAAAAAACAATGATCCTTTTATATAGTAGCAGGAAATTGGCCACGTACAAAGAAAATCAGCACTACTTGGCAATCCTTTCCTAACTCAATCAACGCATTGGAATACAAGTAGCAACCCAACTCAGGTAAATTAGAAACCAAATACTGCACAGGCATGCAAACAACACCTGGCTAACACCAGTACAACCCACCACCACGGCCTAACCTTTCCCTGCTGGCTTTTCCTGTGGGTTGAATAATTCTTTCTGCCCTCCAATTTTTCAAACTCATTCTAATAAAATATCAGGTCCTAGCTACCTGACGCATAGCGTCAGGGCAGAATACCTAGTAGTAATATACTTTCAAAAACACTTTCAAAACTAACTATTCATAATACACATTTCAAATACAATTAACAAAAAAATAAACAACAAATAATAAAAAATAACCTACCACCCACCTCTCTCTCTCTCTCTCTCTCTCTCTCTCTCTCTCTCTCTCTCTCTTTTTCTCTCCCTCCTTCTTCTTTCTCCCCTCCCTATCACGACTTTTGCCCACAACTTTTTGGTTGCTTTGAGTTTGAGGTCACAACTTCTAGCCGTGACTAGATCTGGTTGCTATCGAGAGGTCGCGGGGAAAGTCGGGGGGGAAGGAAAGGGAAGCGAGAGGAGGAAAAAGGGAAGGGAGGAAGAGGAAGGAGGAATAAGGGGAAGAAAGAGAGGGGGAGGAGAGTGGAAGAGGAAAAATGAGGAAGGAGTGGGAGGAGAGAGGAGGAGGAAAGAAGAGGAGAGAAAGGGTGGTAACGGTGGTTGATGATAGCGGTGGGTGATGGTGGTGATGATTTTTTTTTCATTTTTAGAAAATATCACAACAACATTTAAAATTGAAAAAACACCCTAATAAACAACTACAATTACAATTTTTCATATATATATATATATATTGTTATAATATAGTTTTTGAAAAACACCCCAAAAAATATTAATCCAAACGAATGTCAATCAGCTAGTGTACCATTGGAAAAATGGAAAAAAAAAAAAAAGCTAGTGTACCAAGTTGTAGGTTATGGATTTTACTATCCTTTTCTTCATTTGCCACTATAATAAGATATGAACATTTTATTCATTTTTTAAATTTGGAAAAATAGTTGATGCATTTTAGAGAAAAAATTAATCTACTCTAGTTGTAACTAGGGTTGTAAACAAATCGAATCCTTAACGAACAGTTCGGACTCGATTCGTTAAGGGCTCGAATCGAATTTGATTTTCAATGAACTCAAATCTCGAATTCAACAAAGAATTAAGATTCGTTTATAGTATCTAATCGAGTTCAAACTTGTAGATATTCAACTTGTTTACGCTTAATTCGATTTGAATAATTTTTAATATTTTTTATTTAAAATACTTATTAATGTTTTATATAGAATTATATATTTATTATTTCATTATATAGATATTATATATGTATTAGTGACAATTTGATATTAAAATTGAAGAATTAAATATATTTTTGAACTCTCGAATCGAGTTCGAACCCATCAAATATTAAATCGAATTGTACCCGAGTTTAGATTTTAAACTCGCATAGGATTCGAGTTCGAGTCCAAAATTTCAAATTGAGCTCTAAATGTGAGAATTTCGATTCCATTCGTTTACCGTCCTACTTGCGATAGAGTGACAATTGATGGGCATAAATAATACACCTCAAAAAGCGAAAAGAAAAACTCAGGCCAATGAGTAAAATGCCACTGCTTGGGCTTTCGCCTTTGAAGGGCCGACTTCTAGCTTATATCGTGACGTGAGGCCCCCTTGACTTCACAAGTAGGCCTTTAAAGGAGAAAGAATGGAAGTCAACAGCATGCCTCATTCCTCGAAATAGTTTGCCGCAAAAAGGCTGCACCATATTTAATTTAAAGAATTGCCACACAACAAATTTAAAGTGTTTGCTCAACATTATAAGGAGAGATTTTTTTTACATGAATTCTTCGAGAACAAGAAACTTTATCAGCAGTTCAAATTAAACTGATTAAAAAGAAACAAAGGGTTTCATAACTGGGATTAGAATATAAACTTCCTTGTTTCAGTTCTCTCCCTAAGAACAATATGTCCAATGCGAATGAAATTTTATTCTGAGAATGAGTTTGCCAGAATTCTTTAATTTGGTGGCATCCTCCAATTTTATAAAGACTAATCATTTTATATATATGCTCCAGGCTTGTCTCAGGTCACAACCTTTGAGTCAAGAGTGCAAGAAGACATTGGTATCCACAACGCAAAAATACTTGGTGATATCGTACTTCTAATCCAATTGCTTGCTCTTGGATCAATCTTCTTTCATGGAAACCCCCCTCTCATGTTCTACAATATATAAACATGGGGTGGGGCTTCTGCCATTCTCCAGACTCCATTCTACCATCAATTTTCGAATAATATGTGTCATTGGGGCACAGGCTTTCTTCGGAACATGATAATCCATGGCCAAGAAAGATGAAGGATGTGTCATTTACATCTCAGCATGAAAATTTCGGTTTTGTAAGAGTAAATCCCAAGCCAGTCTCGATGAGTACCCTCTTAGGATTATGCTACAATTGGTACGGTCACGGTATTCAATTCCTCCGTCCCTAATGACCAACTTCGAGAAAAGGCTTCCCAACTCACCAATAAACTATTTTTAGTTCACATGCATTTCCTACAAGATTCAGGGTTTGGTCAATCTAAGGTTTCTGATCGTGCTACGTTAAAGATACTTCCGAAAGAAGCACACATGAGAACTGCTAGTGGCTCCCGCGGGATAGTCTGGCCGGTCATGTAATCCTTTTTTAAGGTATTGATTAGCGTTCGACTCTTGTGATTACCGTGCTCGAAATGGGTTTGGGCGCTTTCTCCCTGACCGCAGGAGATTAGTCGGACCGAAAACACGATACCCCTTGTGTCGTCAAAAAAAAGAGAGAGAGAGAACTACTAGTGATTTATTTTTGAATAAATACTACCGCGAACATATTATTGTCTAGGATATCCCTCATTTGTACTCTTGATCAAAGGCAAAGTGTTAGTGGCGAATGCTTGTAATTCATGGGCTCTTTTGTGTATGAGAACTCGTTCTTCAATTCAAGATTTCAACCTAGGGAAATTTTGAGACTTATCGGTGGCGGCTTGGCAAGAATTGTCGATCATGGAAGATTCATCCGGGCATTCGATTTTAGGTTCTAGCGGTACTTTTAAGGGGCTTGTGGGGTGTACCGTCCCCATGCCTTTACCAAGCATACTCTGCTGATTGTCTCTGTGGATGGTGCGTTCAAGGCAGGTAACCGTAGGCGTGAAGATTTGGTGGTCATTTTTTCGCTAAAATCTGCGGGTTTTCTACCTACAGATTCTAGGGAGGGACTAAGTAGCCCTAGATTTTTGTTAGTTTCAGGTTTTGAGCAATCTATGAGCTCCTCTTAATCTTGTAAAATTTTTTAGTTAATTTATCAAATATCTTCACCAAAAATACTTGTACTAATAGTGCATTCCTTATTGTTACATAGTTAGGACAACTTTAGGAATTTGTCCCGATTGTAATTTGTGTTTTGAAAAATAGGAAGATTATCGTCTTTCTTAACCCCTCCCCCTCCCTGGAGTTTTAGCCACGCATCCGCATTTGAGTGCCTTTGTTATTTTTGAATATGATGACTATAATCACATCGATAACTGCCCTATTGGATAATGTGATGAGTAAAACTGTTAAATGAATTTTAAGTGTTATAAATGTTGTAAGAGTTTGACAATAAAAGAATGTCACTATATATATACGTTCACTACAGTTTCCTTCTTTAGCTTAGCTCCTTTTACCAAGTCTTGCGAAGTATGGACTTGTTAATTTAATTGAGTGAAAGTAAATTGCCCATAGTAGCTTATCTACTTAAACTTGATCACATCACAATGTATATATAGAGACATCCCGTTATCTATGTCGAGGGATAGTATAATTTCATCCAAAAAAATCGACTTTAATAAATGACTAAACGCCTCACGGGATAGTTCGAGCGGTCCGCTCTCCCTCTTTAGGGTATGGTGATCTTCCTGACATTCAGGGTTCGAATCCCGTAACTATCGTGTTCAGTGTGGAGTAGGGCCTCCTCTCTCGGGTCGCAGGGGAATTAGTCGGATCGAAGGTTCGGATTATCCCTGTGTCAAAAAAAAAAAAATTTAAATGACTAAACTATCATTAAAAAAAAATTAACATGTCAATTCGTGGACCATGGATGTCGCCCCATATCATATGTCTTCCGACAATTTTCTCTTTTACTCGATCAATAACTCGTGCCAATTCCATTAAAATGAGGCCAAAAATCAAAAGTACACTTGTGGCTGTGGTCCTCCTAAACCAGTAACATGTCCTTCATTGTGGGACCTCGCACAATGGTGCTGGATAAGAATCAAAGATGTGGATGATCAATACAAACTTTTTTCATTTTTGTTTTTTCTTGGTGCACTTTTCCTTTCCAACGTGTCTGGCTTTGCCAGACAAAAAAGCATGCGACAAAAAACATGCGTGGATTTTAGATGCGGTGTGAATTGTTGAATTTGAAATCACCAAAAACGGATTAAATTCCTCTTTGATCTGTAGGTTAAAAGTTTAAATTCTACTTGCAAATTGTAATGAAAAAAAAATAAAAGAAGATATTAGAATACTCGTTGATTTAGTCGAGTCTTTATATTTGTTGATCTTTAGACTCCACTCCTTATAAAATAAAATATATTAAATTATAAATTATAAAATAGGATAGATTAGTCCGTTATATAGTTTCTGTAAACTACTCTCTTTATAGAATAGAATAAATTAGATTATATGGATGTTAACGCTATCATAAAAAAAATTGTCCAATTTAAATTTGTCATGTTTTGACCAGTGGTGACAAATATGACAGCAAGAGAGAAAAATATAATAAAAACATTGGGAAAAAGTTCTCTATCGTCCTACGTGTTACAAAAGTGCTCTATCCACTAAATTTTTTTTTTGAAGGACTCTATCCACTATTTGCCAACCTGCGTGGCTAGCCAAATTGAAAGCCTCGGGTAATTATCATCTCAATCTTATCTCTTACGGCATTTATGCAAGGCGAGTCGATTGCCAAGCTGTTGAAAAGCAATTTGGGTTTGGTTACATTTATATTTGACTATTTTTTTAAATAAATAAATAAATAAATATATATATATATATTTATTTGAAGCAACATTGAAATACATAATCTTTTTGTTTTTTGTGACGTGAAATATATATTCTTAATATATCATGTTATCATAATTCAAAAAAAAAATATTATATTAATAATGAGTAAATTTATATACATTGTCAGTATATA